TCTTGTTCTACTTTCAAAACTGAGCCCAATTTTTTTCCTTGACACTGTCATAAAACTCTCCAATAGTTAAGTCTTAGCCCCTCTGGGCTCTCACAGCAAGGCTGACCTTAAATAGATAACATTTATTATAATTGATAACTACCATTTTAAGGGCTCTAACCCTAAAGCCCAGCCTATATCCCTAGCACTAAGAATAATGATTGATGCATTGTAAAAGCTAACAAATCTTTAAGAAATGAAAGTATGAATGCATAGGAAACTCACTCACCTAAATCCCTTGTATCTTTAAATAATTAAATGTCTTTCAACAAATGGCTTTCAATTCAACAAAATGAACTGGGTACATTCCGAAGTATTGTGGGTTACGAAAGATGGGGTCCTTGCCTGTGTGGAGCTGAGTCCACACCACTGTCTCTGAAAAGTTAGCCAAATGCAATGCCAAAGACAAAGAAATTTGACTTTTTAAAAAAAATTTTTTCTCTTCTTGTTCTGGGGCTTGAACCCAGTACCTCTTGATCAGCTTTTGTGCTCCAGGCTGATGTTTACTTCTCCAGCCACATCTCCACTTCTGTTTTTTGTTTGTTTTTTGATGCTTAAGTAAAGAGTCTCAGACGTTAGTCTTCCCAGGATGGTATCAAACCTTAATCCTCAAATCTTGATCTCCTGAATAGCTAAGATTATAAGAGAGAGCCATCGGAACCTGGCTACAACTAATTTTTCAGATAAATCTATGTTTGCTGACTGAAAAATTACCTGATTCTTCCAGATTTGGTTAAACATTCCTTTTAGTCACTTCAAGTGAAATCTTGTCAATTACAATGTGGATGGAACTGGAGAGTATTATGTGTAATGAAATAGACCACAGTCAGAAAGATATATAGTTCATGATTTTATGTGTTGAAGCTATATCACCTCATAAAAGTAGAAAATAGTACTTCCTTTCTAGTCTAGAGACTAGAAAGGAAGGTAGAGAGAGGGAAAAAGAGAGGTTGGATAATAGGTGTCAAAATTCAGTTAGATAAGAATTAATTCTAATGTTCTATTACAGTAAGGTAATTAGAATCCAGTGTAATTTGTTATTATATATCTTAAAGTAACTGGAAAAGTTCAAAAATATCCAACATATAAAAATGATAAATGTTTGAGGAGATAGGAATGCTATTTTTCCTGATGTGGTCACTATCATTTGATTATCTGTAAACATGCATTTAACTCTCATGTTGTACCCCATAAATGTGCACAAATATTATGTGCCAATTAAAAAGAAAATTCAAATGATAAACAGTTGTTTACCTCCCAGACATGTTCAACCTTTGGTGATAGTTAGCATATTTTTAAAGTGCAAGGAAGTACTAAGTCATTAGAGCCTCGGCTGAGCACAAGGACAAACAGACTCAGAGCTAGCATCCAGAGCCTGTGTTTGTCCTCTGGTGGTCATCTTAGCCTGTGAGGTATGTTCTGTGGCAGTTCTGAACATGCTATCCTCGTTTTGTTTGCTCAGATGTTTCCTTCCTATTGTCAACATCTGCTAGGGACTTCAAGTTAGAGTTAGACCAAATCAGGCTCCTCAAAGTGGAGTCAGTTATTTTGCCTGTTTGGGAAATATTTCATTACCATAAAGCAAAGAACTTATTCCAGTCATCCAAATCTAAGAATGACGTCTTCAACAATACAAAGTCAGGTAACCAGCAGCTCACACCTAGCTACTTGAAAATCTGATCCTAGTTAGAAGCTAGTCTGGGTTTTGAAACTCCATCTTCAAAATAACCATGAAAGCCGGGTGCTGGTGGCTCATGCCTGTAATCCTAGTTACTCAGGAGGTTGAGATCTGAGGATCATGGTTCAAAGCCAGCCTGGGCAGAAAAGTCTGTGAAACTCTTATCTCCAATAAACCACCAGAAAACCAGAAGTGGCTCTGTGACTCAAGTGGTAGAGCACCCGCCTTGAGCTGAAGAGCTGAGGGACAGCGCCCAGGCCCAGAGTTCAAGCCCCATGACCAACCAAAAAACAAAAAACTTGAAAAAGCAAGGCTGGAGGTATGAGCAAGTTAACCTAAACAATCAAACTACAACGCAGTCAAAAAGAAAAGAAAAAAAGAGAATTTGGTTATAATAAAAAAATTACACTACATTGCTCCTAAGAATAATAGTTATTAAAGAAAATTTAGGTTTGAAATGATAAGAAAAACTATTATTTTGGATTTTTTTCTTTATTGATCCATCCAGATATTCTTTTATAAAATCTATATTACCTCAACTCACAAGAGTCAAATCTTTAACTTGTTCATCTCTGTGGAATTTTGATAGCTATGGTTAGAAGAGGGACACTATACATGATGAAATCTTGCCAGGTTGAGGACAATGACCATAAGTCAAGTGTACAAATATTTTGTACAAGTAGAAAGCTAGAAACAATTTCTTAGTATTTGGTTATTTCACTTTGGGATGAGAAAGAAGAATAAGAAAAATGTTTAAAGAAATATTTCTGGGTTCTGGCATTATATCATACAATTGTCCCTAAAATGAAAAATTAACACAAGTAATTCGCTCCTGGAGCCTCTGAATTCAATCAGCAATATGTTCATCATTCAGATCTAGCTCAATGATATGTTTCAGCAAAAGGGAAAGAGATACATTAAGAGACCAAATGGATCCAAGATAAGATTACACTGAAACCAGAAGAGATATAGGAAATCATCTAACCACACATTGGCAACAAGAAGGCTATATCTGGTCTCTAGGTGTGTTTTACTTGATCTGCTCAGTGTTAACATGTTTATTTAAGAAAATTTGAATAGGGCAACCTTTTTAAAGCTAGAAGATTTCCCATTTTAAAAAATCTGAATTTCAGAGTTCTCTCAAAAGATCCAAGTCTTGGTAACACTATGCTCTCATTCTAATACAACCATTAACTAGAACTGAATCAGTTTCACCCTTATTAGATGGGCATAATGTCTCCAGTTCTTCTACTCCCTAATGCCTCCCTAACACAGGACCAAGTCTGACTTGTAGTTAAAGTTTCTCTGGGTTTCCTCCCACTGCCTCTCCCCCATAATTTTGGCTTCTATGCTCATTTATGATATTTCACTCACCTGGGTGAACCTTGTGAACTTGTCATCCATGAACCTTACTCAACCACTCAGTTAACACATGAAAAAACCAAGGTTTCAAGATGCCATGCTAAGGGAGAGAGCAGTATTTAGATCCCTCAGTTAACAATCCATTAGTCATCTAAGTCCTGCTCTCAGATGAGAAAACAGCAGGATATGTTTATTATTCAGAGTCAGAAAATTAGGAAAAGTTTAGAGTCTCAAGAGAATTCAATACAAGCAAAATGAGGGCCAGATGCATACGTACACGTTTAGCATCTCGTCTCTCTAGGCCCAAGCTTGTCCTGCTCATGCTGCTACCAGACTCCTCCTGTAGTTTATCTTCATTCCACACAACCCTACCCAATGATTGGTCCCAGGAGATGTTCTGATAGAAATATATATATATATATATATATATATATATATATATATACACACACACACACACATCTATATGATACTAAAGACACAGAAGTATCCTTTTAGCTTTGTATATGTTTTACGCAATTTACATATAATTATGCATGTCCAATCTGTTGCTTGAATACACTCTTTAGCAAGACATTCAGATATATAGAGCTGTATGTGTGATGATAAAACACAAAAAATATCTGCTTCATTTGGAGATATAACTGGGAATAATGAAATATTGGAATGTGAAATTGGAAATTTCACTGGTTTGCTCTTCATATTTAAAGCTAATGTTTTTCTCATCCCAAGTCCTATCTCTTCTTAAAGAGCTTAAGAATCTATTTTGAGTGGATCAAATACAAATTCATATCATAGTTTTTGTTTGTTTGTTTGGGTGATATTGGTTTGGTGAGGCACAAAGGGTCCAGAATGGCCTTGAACTTATAATTATCCTACCTCAGCTTCTCAAATACTGTTTTTACTGACATGTGCTATCCTACCTTCTCTAGGTAATAATTTTAAGATGCATGAAGACATTGAAATATGCCTTAACATTGATGGTATAGAGTGAAAACAATCCAAATTGTGAGAATGATGACAAAAAAGAAAGAAAATATGCCTCCTGCAGGTACCAGACCGAATTTTTAACTTACACTAAATAGTTATTATGCGGTGCCTGATACTGGTGGCTCACACTTTCAATTCTACTTACTTAGGAGGCTGAAATCTGAGGTTCATGATTCAAAGCCAGCCTATTCAGTAAAGCCAATAAGACAGGTTTTTATCTCCAATTAACTAGTAAAAAACTAAGTGTAAAACAAGTGCCTTGAGTGGTGACGCACCAGCCTTGAGCAAAAAAGCTAAAGTCTACAAGCCAGTCCCTGAGTTTAAGTTCCACTATCAGCACATAAGAATAGTTACGTGTGATGCTTTATTATGTAACAGCACAATAGTTCAAAGGACAAGCTCTGGAGATTAATTGGGTTCAAACCCTGGCTCTATTTATTTGAGCAAACTTACCAGATTTCTCAGTCTAAAATTAAAATGGTGTGTCTTAATAAAAAAATATAGGGCTACCTTGACATGCATGTCTAATAACTGTTACTCCTGTTACTAACAATTAAAACATAGAACAGAAAGTGGCCTAGGAAAGTGTCAATGGTTCCCCATCCAAGATCTGATCAACCTGGAAGTTATCCTATCATAAAATGCAGATTAGAAGGAAAAACAGAGCTGAATTTGAATAAAGCAATGAAAAGTATTCTAAACAGGCTACTCTTTTAATAGCAACATTTATGGAAGACAAAATCAAGGACATTTTAATCACTTATTTTAAGAAGAAATTCACAAAACTAACTTTCAAGGCAAGCAATATAGTTAGTTAACCCTGTTGCAATTGTCAGCAAAGATATAATACTGATACTCAATTTAACTTCTTAACATAGGATACTTGTCATTTTTCCCACAATCTAGCCCCATTCCCACCTCCCAGTCTTACCGATTTTAAATTCCAGGTTCTGCTTCCTTTGTGTACAACAGCCTTCCACACTTGTGCTATGCTACTTCCCCTCTGTCAGGGAAATCCCCTCCCTCTTCAAGTCCTAGCTGAAATGCTGCGCCTGCCACAACACTTTTCTGCTTATAACCTCCAGTGAACCTCTCCTTTTCTTTGTCCTTCAATAGCACACAACTGATGCTGTCATGTGACTTCATTTGTGCTAGTTTATATTATAGATATTTGTAAACATGCCCGTCTTCCTCACTAGACTAAACTCTTTAAGGAAGGAACCAGACCTTGTTTTTCCTTGAATTCAACTTTAAGTTATAGTTCAATCCCTTTTTCCACAGAGAATGTATTTATGTCTACAAAGAGGCTCCCAAAGAAAACATCAGGGAGCTCACAATGCACGCATTTTTATATTTATTTTTGCAAACTTTAGTTATAATCTAAATCAGTAGAAGATACTTCCCTAGAAAATATTTTTCTCTGAAGCAGGCTACTTTAGTTCACCTTCCTCTGGCCCTTCTATACTCAACTGTATTCTATGAATAAACTCCAAAATCCTCTCATAAGAAAGACTATGGATTTTTTTTCAGAGTTTAAAAGATAAGGGTGAGGAATTAAAACTTGTAAATCTCACCATTTCTAATGTTTGTCTAGTTCCAGTTTCATGACCAGATCCATCTCCTAAACATTATGTTCTGTTCCACTAAGCATGCAGATAACAACCAATGCATAAACACTATTGCCATTGATGTCTCAAATCCAGAAGCTAGTAAAGACTTCCTAATGCCCTGATCTACCGACCACCCCTTTTCCCTTCCTGATACTTGTCCTTTAGACATAAAGAGCCCCAGAGAAGGAACCAAGAAACCTCTTCTTAGGCCATCAGTGGTGCTGAAAGCATGAATTGTGGGTTAAGCAATTTTATTATCTATCTTCTATTTCCAAGAACTTTTTTGGGGGGAGGGGGTTGTTTCTGGTAGTGAAATGAGCATCAAACCTATTATCTGCAATATTGCGTATTGTTTAATCTGTAATTCTGTAATGAATGATCAGTCCTTTCACTTCTTAACTTCTCCAGCTTTATTATCATCTGGCAGAATCTTTGAGTGCAAGAATTCATTTTTTAAAAAAAATTAAACGTTTATCCAGATACATCGAGATTTAAAAATAAATATTGCTAGCCGGGCGCTGGTGGCTCACGCCTGTAATCCTAGCTACTCAGGAGGCTGAGATCTGAGGATCATGGTTCAAAGCCAGCCCGGGCAGGAGAGAC